GTTTTCTTCTTCCTTTTTAGTCTCTATCCCTTTGTTGCCCTTCCTTCTCTTATTGACAGTAGGTAGGATCTACAGTATGATGTTGAATAGAAAGAGTGGACATCTTTGCTTTTTCACAATCATAGCAAAAAACATTCAGTATTTCATTATCAAATATACTTTAACTATTTTTCTTAGGTGCCTTTTATCAGATTGATGAAATTTTCTTTTATTACCATTTATCATGAATGGATGTCAAATTTTGCCTCGTTTTTTCTGCATTTATTCAAATACTCTATAGTTTTTTCTCTTTTATTTTGTTAATACGATGATTTTACATTGATTGGTTTTGAAAGTTAAGCCAGCCTTGTATTCTTGGTATAAACCTCACTCGGACATGATTTCTATCCTTTTTTTTTTTTTTTTTTAATATTGCTAGATTTAGTTTGCCAATATTTTGTGAAAGATTTTTATGTCTCTCTTAGTTTATATTTTCTTCTCCCATAACATCTTTGGTTTTGGTATCAGGGTTATTCTCGTCACATACATGAATTGGAAAGTGTTTTCTCCTTTTATTTTCAGAAAGATTTTGTGTACAATAGGTATTATTTCTTGCTTAGAAGGTTGTGGGAAAAATTTTTATTACAAATTTAATTTCTTTAATAGAATTCATTTTGCATAAGTTTTGTGAATTGTATTTTTCAAAATATTATTTCATCTAAGTCCTCAAACTTTTTGGCACAATGTTATTCATAATATTGCCTTATTATCTTTTTAATGTCTGTAGGGTCTGTAGTAATAGTTTCTCTTTCATTCTTGATGTTTGTAATTTACGTGTTCCCTCTCTGTCTCTCTCTATCTCCGTGTATCTCATCAGCCAAGATAGGGCCTATCAAAGTTTTATTGATCTTTCAAAGAAACAAATTTTAGCTTTGTTAACTTTTTGAGGTTTTTATCTGTTTTCTATTTCATTTATTTTTTTTCCTCTTTAAAACTTCCTTCTACTAACTTTAGATTTACTTTGCTCTTCTCTTTCTAACTTGTTAAAGTAAAATCTTGGATTTTATACCTTTCTTTTTTTCTAATACAAGCATTTAAAGCTTTATATTTTCCTCTAAGCACTAGTTTAGCCCCATCCCCAAATATTTTGTGTTTTGTTTTCATTTTCATTTAGTTTGGAATATTTTCTAATTACCCTTATGATTTCTTTTTTGATTCATGGGTTATTTAGAAGCATGTTGTGTTTTTTCCAGATATTTGAGAATTTTATACATATTTTATTTTTATTGATTTCTGGTTTAATACTATGGTTGTCAGAGAACATATTCTGTACAATTTAAATCTTTTAAAATTTATTTAGACTTTATAGCCCAGTATTTAGTCTGTCTTGGTGAATGTATCACGTGCATTTGAGTAGAATGTGTATTCTTTAGTTGTCAGGCATAGTGTTTTGTGAAAATGAGTTAGGTCAGATAGTTGAAAGTACTGTTCAGATATTCTGTTACAGGGCCAGCAAACTTTCTGTAATGGCCACGCAGTAAGTATTTTAGGCTTGTGGTCCATACTGGCCTCCGTTGCGCCTATGCAGTTCTGTCATCGTGGCACAAGAGCAGACAGACAGTGTGAATGAGTGGTCGTGGCCTTGTTCCCAATAGACTTTATTTATAAAATCAGACTCTGGGCTTCTAGTTTGCTGACCCTTACAGACTCACCCGTCTGTTTACTCAGTTACAGGGAGGGGCAGTCTATCATGTCCCATTACTGTGGATTCATTTTTCTCTTAACATTTTCCTCTTCTTCGTCAGTTTTTGCCTAATGTATGTTGAGGCTCTGTCATGTACATATTTATGATCGTTATGTTTTCCTGATCAGTAGGCCCCTGTATCTCTTTGTGTGTATGATACTAATACAGCCACTCCAGCATTTTATAATCACTCTTTGTATGACACATCTTTTTCCCATCTTCTGCTTTTAGCCTATTGGTGTCTTATGTCTCTTTATAGTGGGGCTTGTGTTATATCTCTTGTAATAATCTCAGTGCTTAGTTCATATATATTTAATATAATTATTGACATGGTTGGTTGGATTCACCTCTGCCATTTTTTAATGTGGTTTCTTTGGTTACATCTTGGTTTTTTCCTCCATTTTTTTCTTTCCTGCCTTTTTTAGGGAGGTAGGAGAGATAACTTGGATATTTTTTAGGATTCTCTTTTAATTTCTTTGTTGACTCTTTAAATGTATCTATTTGTACATATGTTTTTAGTGGTTGCTATAGGGATTGCAGCGTACATCCCTAACTTTTCACAATCTGCTTAGAGTTAACATTGTGCCACTTTAGGTAAAATGTTAACAAACTATGATAGTAAGCACAGAGTTCTGTTTACTCCAGTTCTTGACATTATGCTTGTCATATATATTAAACTACAGATGTTGTAAACCACCACTCTAGTATTATAATTTTGAGTTAAATAACCCTGAGTATTTTAAAGAAATTAAGACAAAAAAAGATAGTTTTAATATTTATTTATATTTTTCTCATTTTCAGTTTTCTTTATTCTTTCCTAAAGATCTTGATTTCTGTCTGGTATTATTTCCTTATGCCTGTAGAACTTTATTCAGCATTTCTTATAGTCTGAATTTGGTGATGACAAATTGATTCTTATTTATCTTAAATTTGTCTTTATTTCATCTTTATTCTTTAAAGATATTTTTGCTAGATGTGGGATTTTAGGTTGACAGTTCTTTTATTTTCCTGTCAGTACTTTAAAGACAGTGTCCATTGTCTTCTGGCCTTTGTTGTTTCTGATGAGAAGCTGGTCATTCTTGTACTATTTTCTCTTTTTTTAAGGAAAAAAAATAAAGATGGTCTGAGTATGTTGTCCAGGCTGGTCTCAAAACCCTGGCTTCAAGCAGTCCTCCAGCCTCGGCCCCTGTGGTGCTGGCATCACAGGCGTGAGCCACCTGCCCGGCCAGTACTGTTCTCTTGTAGGCGGCATGTGGTTTTTCTCCAGAAGCTTTCAAGACTTTTCTCCTAATTTTTGGTTTTCAGTAGTTTAACTCCAATGTGCCTGGATGTGCTTCTTTGTGTTTGCCATGTTTGAAATCCCTTGTGCTTCTGGAACTTGAAAGTGCATGTCTTTCACTACATTAGATAAAGTGTTTGGCCATTATTTTCCTACAGATCCCTGAGGCTTTTTTTTTCTCTGTGATTCAAATGAGATGATTTCTATTTATCTAGCTTTATATTCACTATTGTTTTCTTCTGTCATGGCCAATCTGTCCGCAGGGCACTGTCTCCACACTTTCTGTCATGACACTTCCCAGGGAAATTGGCTATTTGGGAGGGGAATTGTGGATAAATAAAGGGATTTTTTGGCCAAGTTATAATTGCTGCAATATAGAGAAGACGAATTTTTCCATAAACCTAAATTCTCAAACGTCTTCACTTAGAGCACGAGCGTGTGTGACAGGTGCTGCTGGGCCTGGCTCTGGCAACCGAATTCTCACCTGGGAGCAGGGACGGTGCGTTGGAAACCCGATGGCTTCCCTTCAACCTGCACGTTGCCAGGGAGGAGCAAACCAGGATAGCTTTAGGGCTGGCCTTCCTCGTCGCATGATTTCAGGACACAGACTCTAAAATGATGGCTTTTCACCTATTAGCTTTGACCAAATATTTCTTTAGGATAAGAAAAAGTGTTTTCCTTTACGTTTAATTTTAAAAGGCTTAAGATGCAAATGATGGGATGAAATAAAGTTTCAGTGCTGGCGTGATAGCACAGAACACCAGCTAATCACAGCAAAGAGGCAGCTAGCATTTACTGTGTGCCAGGCACGGTGACAAGAGCCACTTCTATAGTATCTCACTTTAATCTCACAACAAGCCGCTGAGATGAAGAAATAGTCCGTTCATAGTTGGGAAAACTAAGACAGAGATTAAGTGCCTAGTCCAAGGTCACACAGTTAAAAGGTGACAGAACTGAGATTTAGAGTCAGGCAGTCTGACCTCAGAGCCCACGTCTCAGCTGCTTTCGTGACTAGCAGAGGGGGTCTTGCTTCTGACTCTGGGAGCCTAAATATGCCTCTGTTTCCCCATATGCCCCGTCTTCTGCAGCCTCTGATTCCTTCTCGGCTGAGTGCACAGGAGTCACGACTCAACAGTCATAGTTGGATGTGTCCTGCTTGCCACCCCCAAGCAGCGGTGACCTCTGCACCTCTAACTCACTGTCCAAAGCTCACTTGCACTGGAATGAAATACGTTTAGCAGGTAGAGATTACTAAGAACCGTTTCCAAGGAAGGGATCAGGGAAACAATAAATGAAATGTGAGAAGAGAAGAAAACATAAAGGGAGTCTGGAGGCGTGGAAACAGACAGCTTCCTCCTGCCAGGTGTCCGCCTGCACTGAGCCGGTCCGCCTGCCCCATCTTGCACACCTTGTGGTGGAGATGGCACTGTCAGGGTCTTCTGCCCAGGCTGCCCGCTCCCGGACGCTGGAAGGCTCTGTGCAGGTGTCCTTGCGATGGATCATGACAGATCTTGCCGGCCCTGACAGCGCAGGGTCCTTGGGGTGCTGCGTGTGTGGGCTGGCCCAGCGTGTTGGATACTCTCGTCCTGGCGACAGGACACTGTGGAGTCCTGGATCCCTTGACTGCCTTCCACAAGAGCAGGAGTCTTAGAGCTTCCAGACATATGTTCCAGGAAACATGGGATGGTTTGTTGGTGACAAAACATCTTGCCAAAGAGATGTAGTGGCTTTAATTTTAATATTGTAAACTAAACTTTAGAACTGCTTTTGCAAAACCATGGAATAAGAGGAGGACGAGGGGAATGGGCTGCCAGATTGAGCTTACAAGGTGCTGTGCATGGTGGTGGTAGCGTGTTCGTGTTTTGTTTGTTTTTACCCCCATGCTATTTCAGTTTTTCTAATGCCATTAAATTTTCTAACCAGAAAGGGAAAGTGTTTTGCCAGCTCTTCACTGAAAATGTCTTTTTAACTAACACTGCTTTGGTTTTCATCGCCCAGGTTTTTAGGGAGGAGAAATACTTGAAAGAGGCCATGGAGTGCAGTGACGTGATTTGGCAGCGTGGTTTGCTGAGGAAGGGTTACGGGATCTGCCACGGGACTGCTGGGAACGGCTACTCCTTCCTGTCCCTGTACCATCTCACGCAGGATAAGAAGTACCTCTACCGAGCCTGCAAGGTGAGGGCGTCTCTCTCCGAGCCGCTTCTGAATGCTCCAGAACATGCACGAAGTATAAAAGTTACAGCTCCTCTTCCTGCTTTTAACCTGTTTGTCCCAACTCTGGTTTCTGCTGTTTGTTCTGGCGCAGGCTTGTCCCTGCTTCTCTGGTCCCATGGTGTTTTTGTCTGTAAAGTGGCCATGTCATTACATGTCAAATGTAAATGACTTTTAAAGAACACTTGTTCTCGAGTCACACTGATTAGAATTGCCACTGGTACCATTTATTAGCATTATGACTTTGGGTATGTTTCTTCTTCAAGTCTCAGTGTCCTCATTTGTGAAAATAGAAAAAAAAAATACCATCCACCTCCTGAGGATGTTCCCAGAAGAATTAATTGAGCTAATGTGCAGATCATCTGTCATCATCTTTGCTTAAAATCCTTCAGTGGTCCCCACTGCACCGTAGCAAACCTACGCTGTGCCCCCAGGCCACCGAGCCCACGCCTTGGCCCTCGCCTGCTTCTCCACCCCCTCTACGCCATGTTGTCGCGCTTTCTGGCCTGCCACACTGCAGCCACGCTGGCCCTTCTCTCTGAAGAATGGGGTGTGCCATGCTTGCTCCTGTTGAGCCTGTTATTAACTGTTTCCTTCATCGAGAATGCTCTTTCCCTGAGATATGCATGGTGACGCCTTGCCATTTCCATCTTAGCTTAACTGTGAGGTTCTTAGAGGCCTTTGAGACCCCCCAGGTGGAGGGATGACTCCGTTATTTGCTGTGTGTTTTTGCTTGTTTTGGGAGTCTGTGGCTGCAGAATATAAGCACCATGATCTTACTTGTCAAGGCCACTGTTCTGCATTAGCACCCAGAATAGTGTACAGCACCAAGCAGAAACTTTAATAAATACGCATCGAAATATTTACAGTAGACAGCACAAAGCAAGACCTGGTGAATGTTTATGAGTATTGTTATTACTGTACACATTGCACAAAGTGTAGTTATATGCACACAGAGAAAAGATGGGAAGAAAATACACCAAAATGTTTGCAGTGGACCCTTGGTAGATGGAGGCAGTTTGGCTGACTTAGTCTGTCTACTTTGTGGACAGTGAACATCGGTTACAATTACGAAGCCTTTTCTCAACCTAAACAGAATGGACGCCTCCTTGCCGGTGCCTGGGAATGCACAGGTGTGGGCAGGAGGCCGTGGAGCAGGTAAAGATAGCAGGTCCCCACCCTGTCCTAGGCGGTCAGGACATGACATCTAGGCCAAGACCTGAAGGACCACTAGGAATTAAGCAAAGGAGGATGAGGAAAGATGTTATAATAAAAGGAGAGGAAACTGGTTGTCCAAAGGCCAGCAGGTGTGGGCGCCCAGGGAGCCGTCTGAGGTTCACCGTGGCCGGAGCCCGGGGAGGGGCAGAACTGGAGATGGGTTCTGCTGGGTTCCAAAGGCTCCAGTCAGCCCTGGTGGTGACCACGCTGTGGATGGCTGAGTGAACACAGGGAGTGTGAGGCTTTATGAGGATTGAGACATAGCTGGTTTTTTAAAGATGAAGAGCTTTTGAGGTGGGCCAGGAAGAGGTGGCCCAGGGAGGTGGAATCCGTTCCTGGTAGGGAGAGTCGCTCAGGCAGAGCCTCGGAAAGGCCCAGTGTCTTCCTGGAACTCTGAGCATGTCATTGCTGGGAAGCGGAGGGAAGGAAACGTGTGGGAAAAGGCAGGGAGGCAGAGGCCAAAGAAAGTCAAGTGTTTCCCCTGTAGTCGATAGTTGTCAACCTTGGTTAACCTCTAAACCACTGGGAATTTTCAAATGATGCCTGGACCCCGTTCTAGACCAATTCAGTGAGGGATCCCAGGCACCAGTATTTGTCAAGCTCCCTCGGTGATTTTGACCCTCGGCCAGCGTTGAGTACTGATTTGGAAGGAGTGGTTCATACGAGGATTTGTAACCCGTATTCAGACCACTCTTTCAGAAAGACTGCTGTGGTCCAGTGGGAAGAATGAGGCAGGGCTTGGGTTTCCCCAAATGGTGGCATAATAATTAATGCAAGCAATGTTGAGTCCTAAACCAAGGCATTGGCTGGGATAACCCAAGTGGAGATTTGAAAACACTTAAGATGTAGAACCCACAGAATTTACTGCATTTTTTTTAATGTGGAGAAGATGGAAATATCTGAATGTCTCTGTGTTTTCCGACTCAGAAAACCAGGTAGATGGCATGTCAAACACATTAAGAGTGAGCAGAATTGGAAGGCAAAAGCAGAATAAGTTTTATCTTCCATGTGCTGAATTTGACATTCATCGTGTTCATTACTTATGATTCTTAGTATACAAATGACGAAAAAAATTGTGTTAGCTTAGGCAAAAAAGGGACATTTATTATAATAGTATAGAAACCCTCACTGAAGAGGTCTGAGAACAGGTCGGGAGTTGCTCAAAGGAAAGCGCTGGGAGAGCCGAGGCCAGGCCACTGTGAGACGTGCAGCCTGTGTCCCGAGAGCACAAGGAGGCTGGAGAAGACCCTGAGGGCAGCAGCTGATCCTGAGGGCATTGCAGGGCCAGGATTTTTATCTGTGATAGAACAAGTGCTTCCAGTTACTTCTGGAATCATCCGCCAAGGGGCGGGAGGCAGGTGACAGAAAGCACGGCTGTGGGTGGGTTGTTGCAGCTGTCTCCCTCTTCCCCAGGGCTGGCCGTCCTCGGCCGGGAGGGAGGAGGGTGTGGGGCTGAGCGCCGTGCTGCCGGGAGTCCTCCCCCATTCCTGGGGAGTTTGTCACGGCCTCACCGCCTTTTCACCCAGCCTAAAAAGGAATGCCTTTCTTTTTAGTTCGCAGAGTGGTGTCTAGATTATGGAGCACATGGGTGCCGCATTCCTGACAGACCCTACTCCCTCTTTGAAGGTAAGAGTGAGAAGAAAACTCCAGATTTAAACATCTGGGCAAGTGAAATCGGTCCTCCTGCCTCTGTGGGCTGGCACTGTTAAGTCTGACCTCGCTTGAGTCATAACATCAAAACTATATGAGTAAAATAGAAGTGAACAAATTAGTTTATTGATGCAAATTACACTGAGTCTCTTTCCCTTACCCGTGTTTTGCTCCTGTGAATGTCTCTGAGTGTTCTTGGACCTTTTGCGAAACACACGTGCAGAGGGAACGCGGACGGCCCGCTGTGCAGCGAGGGCAGAAGTAAGCGTCGTGTGTGTTACTCGTGCTACACGGGACGCTCAAGTAGTTAAATGCATTTAAATGTGTTTAATCACTTACATAAAGAAGCATGACAGCATTAACAATTAGAAATGCTAGCAGTTAGGAAAACAGCATGCGTGAATGCGGAAGGACGTTCTGATGGAGCAGAGCAGCGGTGGGTGGCTGCCGGGCTGCAGGCAGAGAGGACGCAGTGCAGGGAAACAGAGCAGAGGTTCTGCAGACACTCGCATCGTGAGACAGAGAGAGAGAGAGAACTGGATGATTTATAACATAAGCCACAGAGACCAAAGGGCAACGGTTTAATGGTGTTGGGATAAATTGATGATAACTTTATTACTTTAGAACCCCATCTTGTACCTATCCCAAATAAACTTTATAGGGAATAAGGGATTGAGTAATGTTTTTTAAAAATCAAATATTATATCAAGCAGAGTCCGATGGATGGCAAAAGAAATAAAAAAATTTAAAAGAAAAAAATTTTTAAAAATCAAATAATAGATGGGTGTTGAATTTGTCAAATGCTTTTTCTGCATCAATTGATAAGATCATGTGATTTTTCTTTTTTAGCCTATTAATATTGTGGATTACATTGATTGATTTTCAAATTTTAAGCCAGTCTTGTATCTCTGGAGTAAACCTCACTTGGTCATGTGTACAATTCTTTTTATATATTGCAGAAATCTGTTCGCTAATATTTTGTTAAAGATTTTTACGTCTGTATTCATGAAGGATACTGACCTATAGTTTTCCTGTTTTGTACATTCTTTGTCTGGTTTTGGTATCAAGGTAATATTGACCTGATAAACTGTATTGAGAAGTATCCTCTTCTCTTCTGTTTTCTGGGATAGACTGTGCATTGATTCGTGGAAGAATTGGTATTAATCTAATTTAAGTGTTTGGTAGAGTTCTCCGGTAAAAACTTCTGGGCCTGGAAATTTTTCTTGAGTTTTTAAACAAATTAAGTTTCTTTAATAGAGCTGTTTAAGTTATCGGTTTCCTACTGGGTATGCTATAATTGTTTATGATTTTTGAGAAATTGGTCCATTTCATCTAGGATGTCAATTTATGTGTGTAAAGCTGTTGGTAGTATTCCTTTATTATCCTTCTGATGTCTGAATTGTCCATGATCTTTTGAAGAATATGATCTTTTTAACATCTAAGAAATCATAAGGAAAAAGTTCTCTGAATAAAAATTTTAGTTTTCTGTTATAAAAATGCAGTGTATTTGCACCGACATAACACAGTTAATGTCTGAACTCTAAATGGAGTTCATTCAAGTTTATAACAGCAACTTCAAAGCCCCAGCAGTTGTGGGATCTTTGAATGTACAACTCCCTGAAAGCCAGACAGTTGGCAGGTCATCTCTCTTCCCCCCGTGCCTGCCAGTGCCCGGCAGACAGAACTAGCAGGACGTGCTAACCAGGTTCTTGTCAGATGTGCCGAGGGATTGATATGTGTGTGCCTACCAATGTCAGCCACTGTGACAGGCCACCAGGCCTGAGGGGTCGCTGACACCTGTGACCCTTCTGGAGGAGCTCACTCCTGCCAAAGTGCACCGTCCAGTGGATCTGCCCCCCCCCGCCACCCAGCACGAGCACGGGTCATTTCAGCATGGCTCCTCCAGGGCCCTCCTGTGGCTGTTTGGGGTCACCGTTTGTTTCTAATAGGTTCCAGTAGGTCAGTGGTTTTCAGATTTTTTAAATACGCTTCTGGAACCCTTTCTTCAAACAAAAACTTACAGGGAAGGCTGAGAACAACCTAGATGTCCTTCAGTAGGGAAATGGGGTAACAATCTGTGAGGTACTACGCAGAAGTAAGAAGGAACCAGCCACCAACATGCACAGTACATGAATACATCTCAAGAACATCGAGGAAAAGCCAGACACAGAGGCTGCGTACCGTGATCCCATGCATGTGAAGTTCTGAAACAGGCAGAGCTGAACACTGGTGGACTAACACTCAGACTGCTGGTTGCCCCTGGGGGACAGAGTGTGAGGACGGGCTGGAGAGGGACAGCCGGAGCTTGCTGGGCAGTGGAAACATTGCAGGTCTTCATAGGGGTTAGTTTTACACAGGTGTATGCGGTTGTCAAAACTCAGAGATGTACACTTAAGATGTGTGTGTTTCATCGTATGTGAATTTTACATCAAAGAAAAACCGTATGCAAACCAAAACTCTACGAGGGAGGGTTTAGGTGGGAGAGAGGAGGCCTTGGTGGGCTGGTCACCTCCCGACCCCGCCCGCCTAAGTCCCAGAGTCAGTCACAGTGAGACCCACTGCTTTGTGTGCTGTGATGATGTGGGCTAGGAATTTTGACAAAATAAATTAAGGTTTATTAAAAATAACATTGTCTGAATGTAAAGAAGATGTAAAATGCAACTTTTTGTTTAGAACGAGAATATAAAAGCTCTGAGAGGGGAAGTTTTATGTGTTAAAATACCACACATAATTAGTTATCGTCCATAACTTTTTGGCTGCAATTCTATATAATCTTAAAGTTTCAAGATACAAGATTAAAGCCCAGAAGCCAAGTTTTAAAAAATAAGATAGTGAAGAAAACTGGTATTTTTAACCGCTGGATGCTCCGGTTTTTTAACCAAGTGATTTTTAAAGTCCTCGGCACCTTTTCCCCATATCCTTACAGCCCCGGGTAAAGGAAATGGGTGGAAGTCATTTTGTTTGGGACGTTGCCCTCCAGAGCACCGGGTCATTGTTAAAAGATCTGCATTTTCTGTTGCAGGCATGGCTGGCGCCATTCACTTTCTCTCCGACATCCTGAGACCAGAGACAGCACAGTTTCCAGCGTTCGAACTTGGCTCTTCGAAGAGGGATTAAAAGGTGCAAAAAGACAACAAAAATACCTGTTTGGACCAGAAGCCATCAGATTGCTTAGTGCCTGCCACGGAAACAACCATGAATCCTGAAAGAGAAAAAAAAAAAAAAAAAAGCAGGCACCTTCACAGGCCCCCTTTTGCTGCAAAGACCCTCAAGTTAGAGCATGAGTGACGGAAACCATCCCGTCAGCGTTTTGTGACAGTGTCTCCTCCCTGTGTAGAATACGACTGTTCACATCTGGCTTCTCTGCAGTGTCTGCATGTCTCTCACGTTTACGCTCTCTAGGTGCGAGCCGTTGTGAATGCAGAGCCCTGTCATGGAGCCCGGCGCTGGCTGTGCGCGAGTGTGTGGCGGTGGCGGCCACTTTTCTGTGCGTGCTGTGTAAAGTGGGGTGTCTCATGCTGGCAGAGGAACAGGCAGGGGGTGTCTCTTCTGAATGTGAAGGATTATCTGGGGTGTAGCCTAGTGATGACATGTTGTCAGCGTTGCCTGTGGGCTCCTCTCCGACGAGTGTGCGGGAGAGGCCCCAGGAACTGAGGAGAGTCGCAGATTTCAGGGCATGTGGAGGGGTGTGGGAGGGCTGTGGGGGCCACAGCTGCACGCCTCCTCTTTGGGTTTTGTGCTCACCTTAGTGTTTTTCAGAAGCCCCAGGGGAGCACTGCAGCTCTGTTGGGGTCCCCGTTCTCAGAAGAGGTTTCAGGTACTTTGTGTAAAGTTTGAAAGGCTCCTGCAGTCCCAGGCAGCCCGCCTCCCGGGAACGGACTTCATGGTGCCAGGGGCAGCCGGCGGGGAGGCGGCCTGGTGACTGCGTGCTGGCAGTGCTGGAGCGTTTGCCCAGGTGTATGTTATTAAAACCGACTGCGCCTCAGTTTCATCAGCACTGCAGATGTTACTGTAAGAACGGTGGCTACAACTCCAGATGGGTAGGAAACAGAAAGATACTCGATTGGACCCATGTCCCCGCAGTTAAGTTTATTTCAGACTTTTGGTCAATATCCAAGTACAAATTTGGGACGCATACATTTCATGTTTTTTGGTCTACTCTTGGGTGGTAAAGTCAAAAGTACTAGTCTGAATTTATAGATATCGGGAAACATAACGATCTATCCAAGAAAATTAGGGTATCATCTGTCTGACATTTTTTATTTAAAATATATGGGCAGTAATTTGGATTAGTTTACCTTCAGTGATTCTGTCATGCAGATTTCAGTTTTAGAAGGGCTTCTGTCATGATACACATGGTCCAGGGCTTTCTAAGTACTCTTGTGAGCTAAGGTGTATGTCATGAAAGGCAGTGTGTAGGGCGCTCTGACGGTCTTAGGCTTGTCTGTAGGGGCTTGCCTAAGCATGGACCAGCCTTAGTTCCCACTCCTTTCATGAAGGAGGAAGATCGTTGGTGGAAAAGACAAGCCTCCTTGTCCCTGTGCAGCTCTTGTGGGGCTGGTACCCGAAACACGTGACCTTCGGTTTCTAAGTGATGCCTCCTGAATGCGTTGCAGACATTCTTGCTTCTTAGTCACGATTGTTTTCTCTCACGGAGGTGGACGACTTCCATGGGTATAAATCCTCACGATTGTATTTTAACTGACTGCCATGCCCCGTGATGTGAAGGTGGGTGCACTCTCAGGAGCCAGCTGAGGGACCTTATCCCAGCACTGTCCCATCCTCCCCACCCACCTCGCCGGAAAACTGCACACCCTACAGAGCTCACTGGGGAGGTTCTGCCTGTGTCCTTTCTCAGGGGCTGCATGGGAGTCAGCCGGGCTCTGCCAGCCCTCCTCCGCAGGGAGGAGACAGTGGTGGCCCTGCCCCATCGGGCCAAGTGTCTTGACCAGCAGCAGTGAGGGCAGCTCTTAGTTATCTGGGTGTCTCCCAGGCACTTACTCACATGCACATTTGAAAACACTTGTCTTTCTGGTTGGCACGCTGAGGGAAAGATAAAGTCTCTGTGGAATAAAAGAAGGAGATTTTATTTACTGGGTTTTTTTAAAGCCAGCTAGGTTGACACCTTCCCACTCACCCACTAGATACTGGCAGATGTGCTGCTCTGTGATTCTGCATTAACCTACTTTCTTGTGTCTGTTCCGCCACCTGCTGTGTGACAAGAGTTCCGACTCTCAGTCCCTGAAGGCAAAGCAGAAATGGCATGTTCTTCACAGGACAGAGACTTACAAAAGTCCGTTTAATAGTTAATAAGTGTTTGAAATAAGATTTCAGATCGTCTCCAGTCATTTCTAGGATGTGTGTCCACAACTGTGTTTTGCAAAATGTGTCTAAACTTTAAAAATGCATACATGCACAATACCATTTAAAATTTAAAGAAAAAAAGTTGATGTCCACAAAAAGTGTTTGGGGTTCTTTGGTTTTGTCAGTAAAAGACAGTTTTGTGATGATGACTTGTGGAATCTTCCTTCGTTTCCATTTCTGTGTTTGAGAATGACGTTGGTTAGGAGCAGTGGTGACTGTTCTTCTGGAGATGTGATTCTTCACCTGCAAATGTGGCAGCTGCTCATGTGAAGATTGTTGTCTGTGCATCCTTTTTGGATTCCAGTGACTGCTTCCGAAACCTGGATAATAACAACAGCACGTAGGTGGAGCTTACATTGTGAGACGGGCCCTTTATCTTCATAGCGATGCTGGGAGGAGGGTACCGTTACTATCACTGTCTTACAACTGAGACCACAACGGACTCGCCGGGTCACACAGCCAGCATTAATAGGTGGGGCAGTCAGGCATCAAGCCCAGGCGGTTCTTGCATGTGGTCACACTCTAAATTTCACTCGATACCTCTTCCCTTTCTTTGTTAGGGCCTCATGGAGATCTTTTTGGGTCTGAGCCCCCTCCTACCCCCAGTTGTCACCGTACAAGAGGGTCTTGTGGCTTTCCTGGGATCATCCGCCAGATGCAGTGCTGGTCACATGATGATGAGATGGACTCTAGGTAGATCTTGAGCCAGAGCCATCAGATCTCCTGACGAGGAGGTGCAGAGGAAGGAAGTGCTGGCGAGACAGCTCCAGCATGGCGTTGGGCCTGGCAGTGGGACGGGGGCTTCCAGAAGCTGGCCGTGGGGCTGTGGTTGGAAGCGGCCAGGCAGGAGATGGAGGGTCCAGTTTTAAGTGTATTGAATTCGAGGTGACTACTAGACATGGACGGGTCTGGAGTTCAAAGAGAAATCTGGGACGGAGCTGTCACTTGGAGTAATTTGTTTATAATGTTACTTAAAAGCCACGAGGCCTGTGCGATTACCACGGAAGGAGGGTGAAGAGAACAGGGAGGGAGCCCAAGTCGGAGCCCGTGGCCACACCAACACGGAAGAGGAGGCCAGCGAAGAGGGCGCAGAAGCAGCCTTCAGTGGGGCAGGGGAGGACAGCGTGAGCGTGGGGAGAAGGGGGACGGATCGCCAGTGTCACGTGCTTCTGATGAGTGAGACGGAGACTGAGAACTGGCCATCAGATCAGCAGCGTCACTGGGAATTGTCAGCACTGTAGGCAACACTTTAACAGAGTTTTGTTACAAAAGACAGGAAAGAAACAGCCATAGCTGGCAAGAGAAATAGGATCAAGAAAAAACCTTTTTTTAAGTTCAGAAAAGTAATAGGACATTTGTGAAATGATGAGAGTGACATAATGGACAGTAAATAAAAGTGACCATGTAGGACAGAAGGGGAAGGGGAAGCCGGGGGTGATGTCTGTAAGGGGGTGCCCGGGTGGTGATGGCTTCAGACGGGCACAGACGGATGTCTAAAAACTTGGGGGACAGACGCTGGAGGGTGGCCGGGCGGGACCTGTGCAGGTTCTCTTCTGATGCTTCGGTTTCCTCAGCGAAGCGGGCGCGAGCGAGGCGGCATCTGCTGAGGGGGGAGGAGGAGGAGGAGGAGGGGTGTTGGGTCGAAGGGAGAAGAGAAGGCCTGGAACTGCCAGGAGAACGGAGGATGAGTGAGTGCTCAGCTCTGCCGCTGCAGAAAACGGCGGGGAGGGGTCGTTAAGACTGGCTGCTGGGCAAGCCTCTGAGTCGGTTCCAGCGGAGGGGCTGGGCATTCGTGTCTCTCACGAGTTCCAGGGTGTTTCAGGAAGACACGGTCTCCTCCGGGTTCCTCTGGTCGCCCAGAGCAGCTGGACGTGTAGCCCAACAGCAGCAGGGTCCCGGTGGCCACAGCTGGTGACACCAGGCAGCGGGGCCTGTGGCCTCTCCTGCTGTGCTCAGCATGCCTCTTAAGGTCACCTGAATTGCTTCTCCTGTTCGTTTGCTCCAGCTGCCTTTCATGCTAGAGGTGCACACAGTCACGTGCTGCAGAAGGCTTCACAGCGTGAGTGGGGTACAGCTGATGGGAAACTGGCCGCGGGTGGGCCAGGTCCATGTGGTATGATCTGGCTACACCTATAGGCTGGGGAAGCACTGGGGTCGGTGTCTGGGACTCACCATGGCTTGCCAAGCCGACTCCCAGCCCCCGCCTGCAGGGCCGTCGGAGGGAGTGAGGGGAGAGCTGGGAGGCGCCTCCACTCCAGGATGGCACTCTGACCTTCACTCTGGGCCACAGACCCTGTTTTACTTTTTTAGTTAAAAAAAGCTTCTAGTTTTGAGCCATGTAGGAGGGGCACCCAGAGAGCAGACTGACATCTAAACCAACTTAAACCCGAGCCGCTCACGGCCGTCCAGAGCGCACAGGCTCACCGGCTCTGGGCGCCTGCTGCAGGTGGGGGCTCTTGCTGTCCTTGCTGTGGACTTAGGGCTCACTTTGCTCCTTTGTCCTCTCTGCTCAGTTACTGCCCCCCCCCCCATGTGCTTCTCCGCGTCCCAGCGTGTAGCCGTCTCCCCTCCCGATCTCGTGTGCCTGGGCGGGGCCGCGACCCGGGAGCCGGTGTTGCCAGCCGCAGGCTCCGCCGGGCCGCACACACGCGCCACGCTGGGCGCCTGGCAGGCTTGGCAGGGCCAGGGAGTGGCCAGGTAGTTTTAAGTCCACGAGGGTTTTCATCTCTTCGTAAGCTGTACTGAGCACACGTGGTCGCCGTGGCCATCACAGCTTGAGCAGAATTGAAGCATCCGTTTTCTCCTCCTCCTCCTCCTCCTCCTCGGCGCCCTCCTCCCGCGGGCCATGTGAGAGGCAGGCGTTTGCCGCACTGCACGCCCCCGGTTGAAATCTTTTCACATTGAATTATTTTGCTAACATCTTAATTTTGTGATTTTGCCCTATATGGAAAGCCTGTTTATTTTTGTCAAATGGAAAAATTCACAATTGAGAACACTTCGTGCCTGCAAGACACCACAGTTCCTCAGTTGTGCCATCAGGTCTCGCCGCCTGCGGGCCGCCGTGTTTCTGTCCTCTCTGGAAGGTGGAGGGTGCTGGGGAGGAGGGAAGAGAGAGGATGTGGGGACCGCAGCGGCTGCAGACAACCGTAAGAAAACTCAGAAGAAAAACAGCCATCACCCCGACCCGCCCTCCACGTGGGAAGCACTGGGCTCAGTGTGCCGGCGCCCCTCCTTCCTCGCGCAGGGACGGGCCGTGAAACCGCAGTGCCTGCGGAGGTGGCGGTGTGGCTTGTCCCGGGGCCAGCCGGCGTCTGCGGGGACTGTGCCGAGGACGGTCTCCGGCATCAGGCTCTCCGGGTCCAGTCTGCGTTTTGACACTTTCAGTACTGCCTGTGGGGTTGTCGGGAGGATTGAATAAAATAAGCTGAGCAACGCATCCGGCACAGCGCAAACGTTCAATAAATGTCACTTTTACTGTTAAATTAGGGATTAAGTAACATCAGATGATTTTCTAGAAAAAAACGTTTTTAATCACGGGACTGGTTGCTTCCGTAGCTGGCCCTCAGCAGCAGGGCAGCCCCGCACCCCCAAACACACTTTTGCTGGTTCCTGCTGCCAGCCCAGCACCACCACCCTGCTTCTGGGAACAGCAACGCCTTCCTACAGCGAACTGCGCTCCCATTCGAACGATGCAGCTTCAGCGCCACGCCGACATACAGCTGCTCTTCTGGAGAGACGGCATTTAATTTAAAATTAGCACGCTTGAGTCATCAGTAATGTTCCCAGTGGCCGACTCAAGGGACAGCAGCAGGGATTCTTCGGGCTGCTTAGGCTCTCAAGCAGTTAACGGCTTTCGCCGCTTGAGTGCATTTCATTTCTAATGTGTAATAACGATACCAACCATTACTGGGCCGGGCACGGTGCGAAGCACTTGATAAGCATCGAATTCAGTTATCCCATTTGGCCCCATAAAAACCTGTGCGTGGGCTTCTCAGCCCCGTTCACCACACGTGAGGCCGCTTGGGATTGGGAGAATTGCCCAAGGTCGTGTGTGAGCGAGCTGTGCGGCAGAGGTTCAATCAGACCTGCGTTTACGAGCGCAGCATCCGGACATTCCAAGGTCATTCTCACCGATGGGTGGAGGTCGTGGAGGAGATAAACTGTTAGCATGGACAGGAGAGGGACATCGCAGCGTCCGGAGCTCTGTGGGCAGAGATGGCAAAGCAACAGCTGAAGACATGCTCGATTCCGAGCACCGAATCACGCGCACGAGCTCGTGTTTGTGTTTTGCAGCCTGTTCCAGCAAGCAGGGCTCTCAGTGTTTCCACCTGTGATACTCACAGGAAAGACAGAATGCGGCTGGCGCTGCTCTGCCCCAATCAATTTGCGGGTCCAGGCAGCGACGGTCGGTGCCTCTCTGGAGACGGCAGACGTGTGTGCCTTCTGATGGAAACGCCACCACCACCTCGGAAGTACAGCTTCCAAAAAACCTGAATCTAATCAGGCTTCTCTGACTACCAATTTACAAGAAATATAAGGGCAGAGAGCAAAGGAGTGCATGGAAAACCCCACATTCCATGAGGATGGGTGCGATAGGCCAACTCCAGACCATGGGTGAATCTGCAAGGCAAGTGACCTGGTTTCTTCTACCAAAAAAAAAAAAAAGGGCAAAAAGATGAAAAAGAGAGGGGAAACCTATAGATTCAAACACATACAGAAATCAACTTCATGGTGTGGACCTTACTTGGATCCTGATACAAACAAATGATTTGAAAACTAAGATAATCAAGAGAAATGTGAACAACTGATTGGATCTTTAAAGATATTAAGGAATTATTGATTACTTTAAGTTTGATGTACTACTTGCTGAAATATTTATGGACGAAATGTCTGGGACTTGCTTAAAAAATAATACATGGAAAAGCCAGAGGAATATAGACGATGAAACAGGATTGGCCGTGAACTAAGAGTTGATTATCCTAATCTCTGTAGTTTTGTATTTTTTGATATTTCGTCTAACTAGGATCTAATTGAGA